TTGGGAGGCTGAGACAGAAGGATCACTTGAGCCCAGGAGTTTGGGGTTGCTGTGAGCTAGGCTGACGCCACGGCACTCTAGCCAGAGCACTAGAGCCAGACTCTGTTTCCCAAAAAAAAAAAAAACAAACCTGGTCCATTTTTTTTCCTATCTTAAGAAACCAAAGCACAAGGTGGACTGATACATTGTTTTTCTGACTTACTGATGACTGTCAACAGAAATACCCGCTTCCCTATGGGAATGATGTAGTGAGATTTATTAGGTAGAAGGTGGTAGAGTATTTTGTTATACTCAGTTATGAGAAACTTGTCAAGGAAAAATGTATAGGTTTTCATAAACATACCTGAATAAGGTCCCCACTGACAAATATGATGTCATATTTATTACCATTCTACGTAATCCCGTGCCATTTCTCAACAAAATATGTTTTAAATACTCTTGTCAATTCCCCTTATCTTTAACTTATTTCTATATCAATTTTCTATGCATATTTTGCATAACCATATGGCCTGGCTTACCAGCAAAAGTCCACAACTGTGCCTGTTGTCTCAGCATCATGGTTAATGGTGCCTCCCACTCCCTTCTCAAAAGTCTCCCTGTTTGAATGACAAATGCTGTGATCATTCTCCTGGGACCCATCCTCTAGGGGGCTGAGGGTTACTGTACAGCATCAAATCCTTTATGTTAAGTACATTAACATACATATAAACGTACATACACAGAGACATGTAAAGACTCATTCTGACACCCTGTTTTGTAGCCTTTGTCACAACATAGTAGCTATAGGGTTAGAAAATTTGAAATGCAAAAACTCTTGTACACTGTTGATGGAAATGTGAATTGGTGCAGGCACTATGAAAGAAAGTGTGGAGGTTCGTCAAAAAATGTAAAATAGAAGGACCATATGATCCAGCATTCCAACTTCTGGTTATTTATCTAAAATTATTAAAATCAGGATTTCAAAGAGGTATCTGTACTTCCACATTTATTGAAGCATTATTACCAGTATCCAAGACCTAGAAGCAACCTGAATGTTCATTGATGGATCAATGGATAACGAAATTGTGCTATGTATAAAGAATGGAGTATTATTCACCCCTATAAATTACAGAAGAAAATGCTGCTGTTTTAAGACAAAGTGAATGAACCTAGAGGACATTATGCTAAGAAAAATAAGCCAGACACCGAAGGGCATGTGCTACAGGATACTATTTATACGAAGAATCTAAAATAGTCAAACTCATAGAAGCAGAGAGTATAATGGTGGTTGCTAGGGGCTTTGGGGAGGAGGAAAAAGGGAGGTGTTAGTTAAAGGGTACAAAGTTTCAGTTGTGCAAGATGAATAAGTCCTAGAGGTTCACTGGACAGTATAGTACCTATAGTTAACAATACTGTATTGCATAATTAAAATTTGGCTAACAGGGTAAATATTTTGTTGTGTTCTTATCATACACATAAATAATGATAATGCATAAACAGGGTGAGAAGAAACTTTTGGAGCTGATGGATAGGTGTATGGCATAGACTGTGCTAATGATTTCAAAAGTATATGTTTGTCTCCAAACTCATCAAGTTGTATATATATGCAACTTTTTGTAGGTTAATTATACCTCGATAAAGTTGTTTAAAAAAAGTTAAAATGAAATCTCTATTCTGCTTTAAACTGTCTGAAATTTTATAATCAGAAAAATTAAACTGTATTCTTTTCTAGTTTGTGCATACCAATCATATATACACAACCAGCTGATGTGCAAGTTTAAGTGTAATTATAATTATTTGATGTGTAATTTTATTGTATTTGATAACCCTTGTAAGATACCTGAAATTTTAATTTAGGTCATATTCACCACAACTTATGCCAAATTAAAAAACTGAAAAAAATTGAGCTGGATTGGCCAAGGCATTTAGAGACTGCTATGGTCTGAATGTGTTCCCCAAAATTCATGTGTTGGAAACCTAATACCCTGCGTAACAGTCCGGGTACAGTGGCTCAGGCCTGTAATCCTAGCACTCTGGGAGGCCGAGG